ATTAAAAGTTAGAAGAAAAAAGAAAAAGATGGAGAAGAGATGTGCAGGATGTATGCATATTGTTAGATTAGTGGGATAGTACCATTTATAATGTGACAAGTGTTTTAATGAATATGAGTTAAGAATGGAGAATATATGTGGGATTAAGACGGGACAAGCAATGTAATATAATGTTGGTGTTTAGAGTAAATAATTGTTAAGTTAAAAATAATGAAAACCGATTTTTGTAAGTATATTGTATAGTAAAGATATGCATAAGAAATAAAATTAAATAAATATGAAGAAGTAAGAAAAACTGAATTAAAAAAGTGGGGGTTGTATGAAGGTAATGTAATGTTATATAAGTATGTTATGTGAAAGGTGTAGAGGTATTGTGCTTTGCTCACATTCTGTCTAAACGATGTCATAACTCGTTGTTTAGCAAATCTTGAAAAATAATCTAACATTGATTTACCTACCGTAATCGTCGGTTTAACGTTTAATTACCCTATTTTGGAATAGTTAATGTCGTCTTATGAGTTTTTTTTTCTCGTTGGGATAGCTGTAGTAAAAGCAACAAACCAAAGTCGTGCACTCTAACTCTTTCTTAAGCCCGTGCAACCACATTCCAGAAGATGACAATTCCTATCGATATGCGTTGGAGATCGATTATGCTGACCTATATCTACGATATTGACGTAAGTGTTGTTGCTTCCGATATGAGGGTCTCGACGCGGTCTATTTCTCGTTGGGGTTAACTGTTTCGTCGTAAAGGTAATGTGATGCTGAACATGCGAGTTAAAAAGAAGATACGATAGCCGACAGAGATCATTAAGTTCGCCGAAGGTGTCGTCGAGGCACACTAATGCTTCTATATTGAAGAGCTTCAAGTCTCTATCCAGTCTACATTTCCATTATTACTAAACGAGAGAGAGAGAGAGAGAGAGAGAGAGAGCATTCCCGCTGAAATCGACACTTACTTGCCGAATTCGTCGTTGTGTGAGAAATCAAAGGTAATGAGAAGTTCAAGCGTTGTTCTACAATTCGTTTATGACTACCCAACCTTAAGGTGGAGCTGGACTTGCAAGCTGCCGGGTAATGGCTCCCGTTGTTGCGCTAGCACACGTAGCAAATTAGAAAAGCATCCCGCTTCGAATCAGAATAGACCTTAGTTACTTACCGATTGGCTCGTAACAGAGCAGGACAATGTGCAGGTAAGCATTTGATCAGACCTACAAGCTGGGGAAGAAGTAGCCGCGCATAGCCTTATCGCTGTGGTTTTGTGTTGTAGATGAAGTTTTGCGTTGCCGCCCAGTATATGGAACTTATTCTTAACGT